ACGGGGGAGGAAGTGGCCACAAAGGACTTGAACCACCAACCCCATCTCTCCTCCCCTTCAGGAGAGTGGATGCATTCAATGAGAGGACTCTTCAAGGTAACTCATCTCTCTCCTACAGCTCATTCTCTCCAGAAATCCTCAGAATTACATCCCAACGAGACACGCTTGCACAAACATACACAATATATGCACAAATTACACACACACACACACACACACACACACACACACACACACACACACACACACACACACACACACACACACACACACACACACACACACACACACACAGCTCTACCCCCTATCCCACATGGCTCTGGAGAAGCAGCACTGCCCCTCCTACCCCTCTGTCAATAAGCCCAGTTTGGAAACACTTTAAACAGACTTGCACATCGCTCCGCTATACAAAAAGGGAAAACTTCAAGACATGCTCTCCTCCATACCCGCAGGGTTAATTAGAATTGTTTTAAACAGCCACTGCCATGCTATTTAAACATTTATGGGTGCATGCATTACAACGAAGGCATTAACATATCCAGAAAGTTTAACCTCTTCTCTGCTCCCGGGCTCTATTATGAGGAGCAGAGGAGAACCAGAGTGAGGACAGTTGACCTCTGCTGCCCCCTGTGTTACAGCTGAAAAACAACAAGGGAATTTTCAATGAGGAGCAGCAGCCCGCTTTGGATCAGAGGAATCAGAGCCAAGCCACCATGCCGTCTGAATGACAATCAGCTTGTATGTTGGAGAAGAGAGAGAGGTGTAAACCCAGAGGCTGTGTAGTACCAATAAAAACATACATTATTCACTAACAGGGACAATGAGCTGTAGTGTAGAATACAAAGATGAGTGAGAAAATAATTACAGTGCTGATCACTCTGAGGCAAACTCACTAGAACATTTAGATATTTCAACATTATTTTTAGATTAGTCATATACTCTTGGGAAATACAAGTAGTTCTTGTACTGTACACAAAAATCTGCATCAGTAGATCCAACAGGAAAATTTAGATTTCGAAAGTTAATCAAGTCTGTGTTTGTCTGCAGTATTGAAAAGTTAATAATAATTGTATCTAGCAATATAATAAGGATTATGATTTCTTGAAATATTTCAGCATGTACAATGACGGTCTTTTGGAAAAGATTTAGCTGAAAATCAAGACAGTGTGAATCTTGTGTAACAAATAACCAGAGTTCAGGTAAACTGGCTCAATCCTTAGCTCACAGAAAAGTTAATTTGTCATCGTTGCAAACTTTCCGAAAACCCCTGTCCTTCCCCGGCACAAAAAATAGTACGCTCTCTGGCTGTCTGCAAAACATGACAAACGGACAAAGAAGGAGAAACACAATTATTAAGAGACTTTTCACGGTGTGATTAAGCCCTGCTTGTGTGAATATGTGTGCGAAAGAGAAAGTTTGTCATGAGTCATGGCCATAAGCGGCGGAGAAACAACGGCGAAAGAGGCAGTGTGCAGGAAGTATAGCCTGCAGGGAGCTTTTAACACTTCAGAACAAAACAGAATCTCTCTTTCTCTCCCCCTCTTTGTAAGCTCTCGCTGCCACATAAAGACTAGTGGTAAACATGAGACAGAACTGCTGTGCCTCTTTGGCCAAGAAGTGAGAAATTGCAGGGATCAAAGCAGTCCAATTATCATGTGTTTATGGAGTGCCAATTATCTCTGTCAGTGGCAGGAAGGATTCTGTATCACTCAGTTTCACTACAAAGACATAGGAAAGGTGCCGGAGTTCTTGTGTGCACAATAGTCACACTGTGGGGGTGGTCACAGCTATCTGCAGTCACCTAACAGTCACAAATGCTCACATACAAGGTCAAAAGATAATGACTATGGACTAAGACTCCTGCAGAAATCACAGCAAATTAAAGCTAATTGCCGATAGAAGGGAGGCAGTCCACTGAATTCCGCAAGTAAGTGGAGCTCTGTTGGAGGGAAGTAACACCATTCTTTGGAGAAATTACATCATTCGCCATTTTGTTAATGAGGCGAAAACGCTTCCTCGGGCACTGCTCTGGGATTTCTGAATGTATTCAGCCGAGACGAGCTTCAAACCCTTTCTGAGTGTTGAGACATCTTAGTCCGTTCCTATCAGGGACGACATGCTTCCCCACACGATGAAGGTAATATCTTAAGGCCGTTTATGTTTGTTATTTTTCATTTTATTCCTATAAACGCTTAAATGGCATCATAAGCTGCAGGGAAACCACTAGAAACCAATTTCCTATTTCATTTGCTTTGGTCATGAAAATGCCCTACACATGATGTTGACATGCATCTAGATGATTGGATTGTGTTGAGAAAGAGCATAAAGACAATCCAGCAGTAAATTCACTAAAAACACACCAAATATCCAATCACCAGAATAGGTTGTCCAACGAACATTTGCTCGTAATGTCAAAGCGATATAGTGTCCCCAGTCTACATTCAGTACATCAATTCTGTTATGGAAATGAGCATTTGTGCATGTATCATTTCAGAAAGCATACATGCAAAACCAAACCCCTACTATGTAAGTTCTAAGAGGATAGCAAGGTGCCTAGCAGGCTGGAATTTGCAAGAGATGTCAGTATTCAAGATGTAAATGAGGATTATTTTAATGTCACTGTTATCATGTCCCCAGCAGCATGAGATATAATGAAAAAGAGAACAATGTACAACAAAATAAACCTCCAAAGGAATACAACTGTAAAGAACCTGTGTCTGCTTGAGCAGTCCTGAACGTTCACCCAAAGACACTCTGAACACTGTGGCAACTGCAATATAAAAGTCCTGCACCTTTTAGAAAGAGGGAGACAGCACAATAATGTTATATATTAATACTGTCCATACTGTAGGTTACCATTATTAAGTGGGGGTGCCTCCACAACTTAGCTACTTACATTTTAACATAGTTCAGTCAGGATGAGGAGCTTTAAAAGATCTTGTTGGCGCAAAAGATTTATTTCGGTTGAAAGTTTAAGTAAGACATATAGAATAACATGATTTTGATGGCAGGTTGTGGGGTTTATCATGATCCATTAAGTATTTCTTAAAGCCATCAGTTAATCAATTACAAGATTTAGGACTACTACTAACAGAACATACAAACAAACATACAGCCACAGATTTAACTAGCTAGATTAGGAAAAGCTATAAAAACAACCCTTTTCAAACTGTGGAACATTGAACAGGAGTGTTTTTACTTCTTTATGTCCTTTTTTTAAAATTCATTATCATGTTTTTTGTCTGGTAAATAAAAGAAAACTGCTTGAAATAGTAAAAGACTTGTGTCAACTGAAACAGGCTCACCACATACCAAGAGATCATCACCTGACACTTTCATACAGCTGCAGAGTAAACACTAAATGTGATTCGTGCCACCAGTTCAAACCGATTTCTCCTTAGGCCGCTCTAGAGTAGAGATCCCAACAGGAGATCTGCAGACAGATCACAGTGGGAAGCACTAAGATGAAGTGTCAATGCTGCTGTAAGATCCACTGTAAAATCCCCCTGTTTGGATCTGAGGGAGCAGGCAGCCTAAGAGGAGATTGGTGGAGGAGTGCAGTACATATGCAGTTATTCCCACTACTGCTCATGCAGGCGGTCCTTCACTGTAATCCTCTGTCTCCAGAGACTGAGAATGCAAAGACGCTGGCAGAAATCACCATGCAAACTCACACACACACATAAGAATGCATACAAGCACACAAATTACAAATCCTTGTATACTGCTTTTTCACAGCACCCTACTTTATTCATTGTTCTGCCACTGAGTGTGGCGGGACAGACGGGAGAGTCAGTGCTTCAAATAAGAAGACACTGAGTTTTATAGACCAAAGATCTCCCAACCAAAGCTGGGCGTGTTTGAAAAGGGAGTCAAACTTCTGTACACTGTACTGTTTTTACTGGGTAGACACAAAGTAATCGTATAGTACCTGGATGCCTCTAGAGCGTCTGAAGAAACTCTTTCTCTGCTGACTTTCACGTTCTCTTTCATGTCCTTTAAACATGTTTGATAAGACTTAGCATGTGAGACCCCGACGAAGTCCCTAGGCATAGACTCTCCTTGTGAAGTTGTGTTATTTAGGTATGAAACAAGACTAGGAGTGATGAGTGAGGACTTCCCCAGGGGCATTATCTAAAGCTAAACTCGGGGTGTGAGGAGAGAGGCAGGCGGAAAGTGAGATAGGAGGCAGCAAGCCAAGAGGAAGAGGTGAGGAGAGGTGAGAGGGAATGCTGAAAGAAACTCCAGCTAGTGGAAAGGGGCAGAGAGGTGTGACTTTTTCAGTGCTTACCCGACACAGTGGGGGCCTGAGTGTGTATGTGCACTTGGATACAGGCACCGATGATTAGGATGTGTGTGTGTGTGTGTGTGTGTGTGTGTGTGTGTGTGTGTGTGTGTGTGTGTGTGTGTCAGCTAATGCCATGCTGCCTTTTCCAGTGGGGCATCGGAAACTTGCATTGGCAGAGNTGTGTATGTGCACTTGGATACAGGCACCGATGATTAGGATGTGTGTGTGTGTGTGTGTGTGTGTGTGTGTGCTGAGCTCAGCTAATGCCATGCTGCCTTTTCCAGTGGGGCATCGGAAACTTGCATTGGCAGAGAATCAACTACAGGTCAGATCTCTGCTGCTCACTCTTTCAATGAGTGTGCCAAGGTGGCAGGAACACATGCACTCTGCCAGAATAGCTAAAAGAGCTGGGCAGCGGTGGAGGGTGTCGGCGATACTGTCAAGACATCCAACGGGAAAAGTGTAAGTGATGAAAAAAGTCTGAAAGCCAGAAAGATATAAAAAAAAGCCTAAAAAGCAGATGGAGTTTAATGTCACAGCACACTTAATTACGATGGAATTTGTGTGAAAAGTCACACTGACAATGTAGACATGAATAGGTACTGCTCAATAAAGAACAGAGATGATTTTACAACATCGTGATGCACTTCGATAGTTCGCAGGCATTGAAGGGTAAAGTTTCTCACCCTGCCAAAAATAAAGACTGAGGGTGATGGGGAAGGTGAGAAAAAATATGTCTGAGCTGGAGACAGGAAATATGAGGAAGGCAGGAAAGATGCCGGGGTGTTTAAGTGAGCGGGGGCATCCATATTCAGGCAGAGGGCTCAGGGGCACGGTTGGCACACAGAACGAGAAGGTCGCCAGAAGACGAGCTGGCATGTAGAGAAATAACAGCCGACACCGCAGCCAGAGTCAACATCTCCCTGTCTGTCTGTCACTCTTTAATATATATA